CTCTACCCAGGGCAACAGCTTGAGGCTCTGTCTCAAAAAATAATAATAATAATAAAATAAAAATAAAAACTAGTCTATAGGTCGGAAACTGTGGCTCACGCCTGTAATCCTAGCACTCTGGGAGAGGGAGGGAGAGGCAGATGGATTACTTGAACCCAGAAATTCCAGGCCAGCATGAGCAAGAATAAGACCCCATTTCTACTAAAAATACAAAAACCAGCTGAGCATTGTGGGAGGTGCCTGTAGTTCCAGTTCCTCAGGAAGTTGAAGCAAGGAATTGCTTAAGCCCATGAGTTTGAGGTTGCTGTGAACTATGACACCATGGCACTCTATCCAGGAGGACAGAGTGAGATTCTGTCTTAAAAAACAAAAGCAAAAACGAAACTGAGTTAATCAAAATATTAAATCTCTTTTATCAATCTTGTCTTAGGGGAAGGGACAGAGAGAGGACCTTTCTTGTACAAACATCTGTATTTTATTGGAGTTTTATTAAAAAAGAGTGGAGGTACTGAACTTGAGAATATCCTTTAAGTAAGATTATAAGGTATTTGCCTCAGGCCAAATTTTCAGGAAGAAAAATCAAAGGATAGATAATTCTTTGACTTCTTTTGACTACAGACTAAGTATTTCTAAATATTACTTATGATATTCAACAGGGTTATATTTCAGCCAGCTTTAATCATTAAGAACAAGGCTCAACCCCTGAGCAGAACTCAAAGTATTCTACTGCACATTAAACAACTGAAGAAAGCAAAAGTGACAATATGCGACTGCTCAGTGGTTAGAGCACTGGCCCTGTGCACCAGGGGTGGCAGGTTCAATCCTGGCCAGTGTTTGCTTAACAACAATGAAAAAAGTGACAATATGCATATATATGAATATTCACCTTCAACAATAATTTTTTAAATATAAAATTTACAACAATAAATTATTGCTTAACTAGATAAACTGCATTAAAATTTATTTTAAATGGTAATAGCCAGTGTTTGTGATAAAAGATGGAAATTCACTCTCAGTTTCTTGGGACGATAAATTCCCACCACTTCTCTGCAGAGCACTTTGACAAAGCATAGAAAAAGAACTTTTAAACTGTGTATACACTTGGATCCAATAATTCCACCTCCAGCAATTTAGCCTAAAAACACATAATAAATGTACACGAAGATAT